CGAGGATCTGTGGAACGCGATACAGAAGATCCACGAACGTGCCCTCAGGATGGACGCAGCCAAGATCATAGCTGTGGACATGGTCAACCGGGTGACGGTGCATCTAGAGAAGATTCGCATCGCTGAGGCCAGAGCGTAAGTCCTCGTTAAACTAGCTTAATATTAACAAAGGTTATTTTTTTATGCAGATTTACGCATTAGTAAACCGCTTTAAGTAAACAGTAGGTCAAAAACCTTTGCAAATAATTAATTTATAACAAAGATATCATTTAAAAATAAGATTATTTCTAATACATTTTTTAATGCGCTTTAAACAAAGAAATCCAGGGAAAATGAATGTGATTAGATATAATAAGATGCAATTTGCAATTCAACTCTTTGTTGTATACCCTACACTCTTAATGCTTAGAGCCTCCATAAGCTTTTATCTATGCGTGAAAAAATGCAGTGCACAGAATTAAATGTAATTTATATGCTTCAGAGAATAGTCATCAATCACAAATTATTAAATTGAATAATAATGAATAAGCTGAAAGGCAATAGCTGGGATTACTTTGCATTTTCTTATTTTACGCTTCAGATCTATAATAGATACATATATGCATTTATTCCACTTTCTAGAGCTGAAACCAATACGCCTCCAGTTTTTAGTACAAACTCGTACCTCGCCGATGAAGAGAAGGAGTTGGAGTTCCTGCGCAAGCTTTGCGAGATTATGGTGATCCTGCTGCTGCCACGCGGTTACTCCCTGCCCCCATTGAAGGTCCTGCTCAGCGAGATTCTCTCCTACAAGAGTAAGTATCGCTTTAGATTAATAGACGATACGTTTTACGTTTCAATATCCTGTCCGTAGTTTTCTTTCCGATGATCAAAATGCTGACAGCACCGGACTACATCAACCAGAAGGTGGTCCAAAACATTGAAACTCGCTTGGCAGCGGCGGCCATGAGCAAGAGGAGCTACGAGTATGCAGCCAGCTTCGAGGACTTCCTCAAAATCATCAACAACTCGGGCAACCTCGAGGAGCTCTCGCTCATCCGCAAGAGCATAGTAAACGACCTGATGCATGCCACCACCATGCAGAACCTGCAGCGTGCCAAAGGCCTTGATCCGGATCACGAGGACCACTCGCTCTCCAAGTCGGAGCTCACAGCCGCCGTCCGACTGAAGCGCTATGTCCGCCAACTCACAATGGCTAAGGGCGAGTGCGAGAAGAATCTGGCCAAGTTCGGCTGGAACGGCAACTACTCCAGCGATATTGTAATTTAACTCCAGCATTCTCCATGCCCACAACACTTATAATCCCCCTCCAATTATTATTTGCAGGACCTAACACTGGTCGAGATCCTGAACACTGCAGTTGGCCGGCGCTACTTCACCCTATTCCTGGAGCCACTGAAGGCTAGCGCTCTGATTGGTTTCTATCTGGCCGTGGAGGAGATCAAGCACGCGCACAAGTCGGCCAGCCACCAGCTGGGCACAGAGATCTTTTACACCTACATCAGGGTGCCCAAGTCAGAGATCCAGATTGACAAGCACGAGCGTAAACTGATTGAAACGTTCCTGCTGGGGGATGCCGAGCCAGACATCTTCTACGACATCCAGCGCAACGTACTACGCACGCTGGAGGAAAAGTACTATCCGCCATTTGTGCTCAGCGATCAGTATCGTCAGTTGAAGGAGGCGCTGGACTCCAATGAAATTGCAGATCCCACGCTGCTAATGTGTCATACCATTGGCGATGTCCCGGAACCGCTGGCGGATGAGCAAACGGGCGCGTCGGATGGACTTAATGGCGGAGCTGGTGGTGGTGCCATCGATGTGGCCGCCCACACATCTTATGCACGACGAAAGTTGGAACAAATACAGGAACGGATTGATAAAAAGAACCAGGCGCTGGACGCCCTCAAATACTCTGTGAAGCCGGAGTCCAAGGTGCTCTCCATTCTCGAAAAGGAGATGGAGTGGCTGAAGAGCGAGAAGCGCCAAACAGAGGCGCATTTGCGGCGCACGGACGCCTGGACGGAGCATCTGGGCAAGTGGAAGGCCACCATCCAAAGTGTAGAGGTCAGTGCTCAGCAATTACGTGATTTTATCGGCAATTTGTCAACTTCTTGGCATTGTTTAGGTCTCCGATGAGAAAGAGTCCTTGCAGTTCATGATCTTGGTTCATGTGGACGAGGATATTAATGCTCCAGTACAACCGGCATCATCCAAAAACGGTGACAGCATCCATGGCCATGCCCATCTACGTAAGCGACCGTCGGGCATTTCCAGTGGTTGGGTAGTAATGCGCTCCCTAAATCAAGTGCACGTGTGTATTTCCTTTAAGATCCTAAAGTTCCTATAGTTACTAACGTTTTGGTTATTTCTGAAGGAGCTACAGCGAAAACTGAGACACGTGAGCTCCAACCTGAAGGCCATCGACCTGCCCACGAACTTTAAGTTCTTTTTTCTGAAGACAGATCGACACGGTCAGGAAAAGGCCAAGGGACAGATTCAGAAGTTCCTGAACGTAAGCTGAATATATTCGTTCACACCAAAGATAAGTTAGTAATGCTTTACTTTTCAACCACTTAGTTTATCCTGGAGGACGATCATCTAAATGGCAGCGAGGCCATCTACACGTTTCTTAGCCCAAGCTCAGACCATCTGAAGCAATCGCTACCCTCACCAAAGAAGTCAAAATTCTCGCTATCCACGCTATTCCGCAGCGATGCTGGAAAATCACACGAGGCTAGCAAAGCAACCGATCCCTTTTGGGGGCTGCAGCGCGATGATGAGGATATATCCACCTATCTGGACGGCGAGTCCGGCGGTGAGGCTAAAATGCTAGCCGCGGATCTTGACAGCAAGGATTCGATAGCAGAACCGATGTACGCTCTAATGGGCGAAATCTTCGACATGGGCGGGGTTTTCAAGTGGTTGCGTAAGAGTCTCATCTCGTTTGTGCAGATCACATACGGCCGTACGATCAATCGACAGATCCGAGAATCGGTGGCCTATCTCTTTGAGGAGTCTATGCTGCACAACTACTTTTCGGCCATCCTCAAGTCATTTTGGCCAGGCGGCGTCCTTGCCTCCGCCTATCCTACGCGGTCCGAGGATATGCGCGAAATGACCACCACGGCGGCCAAGGCGCTGCTCACCGACCACATACCGGAGGTGTTGTGCAACCTGGTCGGTGCACAGGCTGCCAAACGGGGTGTCCTTAAGGTTTTCGATGCCCTGCAGAATCCCGCATATAACAAGCAGCTATTCTACGTAAATGTTCGCTTCATTATTCATATAGCCAAATATACAATTTTTATCTTTTATCTTCAGGAGCTGCTGGAGATAATTATGATTGAGTTCTTTCCTGAAATCCGCCAACTGCGTGTCAGCAACACCAATGGAACCAAGTTAAATACGGCCACTGCTGGAGCGGCAGCTGCATCCGCTGCAGCGGCACTGGTGGCGGCCACGGCATCAGCTTCGCTGCCCTCGCTTAATCATAGTGGTGGTGGTCACAGTGCGTCCACGGGAGTGCATCACCAGAACCATCAGGGATCCTCGACGTCCAGCGCTTGCTCAGCTGGAGGCAGTGGCAGCACCGGTGTTGGTGCCGCATCGCACCACCAATCGCACTACCACCACGCATCGCACCACCCCCAGCAGCAGCACCACCATTCGCAGGCGGGCAGCTCGAAGTAGAAAAGAAGCCCCATTTCGTTTTAGATTTTACTTTAGCTTAAACGATTTTTTTTAATTTATATTATGTTTTGTTCGATTTTATGTTCGATGTTTAATGCTCTCCCCCTCTCTGAACGGTGGTTATTGTTGATTTAGCCGAAGAAAGGGATACAAAGAATAGTTATGTAGAATACCACACAACTCAGTAGTTACCAGTATCATTCCCTGTACAAATGCAGACTTAAAATCCATTTGAATTCAGTACTTGTTGATTCGTTTGTCCATCACTTCCTGTAGTCAGATTTGTTTGTTATGTGTATATGTCTGTACATAGGTCAGTATTAAGCGTTGTACCAAATTGTTGTTTATATACTCGTATAGTAAAATGTGACACTCAGTTTGGATTGATTATAATTATAGTTTATTAGCAGATATTGAGCCAAAAGTTGCATCTGCAGCTGGCGGTGAGTCGGTGCTTGTGATTCCCATTCCGCTCCAGCTGTAGATCCATCTTCCCCACAAAAATATTATACAAACACAAGACACCTGAGATTCGTTTGATGCAAGCTTATGGGCGTCCTAAACAGCGCGTTCCATGGGCATAAGGTCACTAATTAGCTTAACAATTCATATTTATTTTATTTCGTGATACTTCAAAGTATGGCTTTCATTTTTGTGACGTATGGTTTCTTAATCACACAAATCTGAATTCTTATTCGAATTTGTATTTACATATATTACTTAATTGTTGCACACCAATAACCATCAATTAAAAATTGTATTTAAAATTTCCTAACCGACCAAATTTGAATTTCACATCAAATTGGATGTATTTGTTAAGTGCTATGGTGATGGCATCAAATAATCGTAAGGACTAAGCGTTGGTTGAGTCTGTCCTCAATACAGAACGTTTAATAACAATACAACAGTCGCAAGTCGGGACTTTAAAGAAGCATTAATCCTAAAGCATTTGTGGTAATCCAACTGCATTTTTAACATGGTATCAATGTTAAAATACACACAACAACTCGAAATTAGAACATTCAAAAAATGTCCCAAACCTGTTTTGTGAACCTCAAACGACCCATAGCCGCCACCGCCACCCAAAGACCACACCGCCGTCACCTTCAGTAGCACTAGGCAAAATGGCACTCAGACGATTCATCCCAATGAGCCAAACGTATCCCACTTAGGACCCACATTCAGAGTTTCGAGGCGCTTTCAATCTATTTATGTATGGCAGTTGTACACTTTTATGTGAAAATGCGAAATAAAGATCGCTATTTATGTAGATGTTGGCCAGCATTTTAATGGGATTTAAATTACATTTAGAACACGGCCACCTTTGCGACAAGCTTTTCCAGGGTAATGGCTTGCATGTCGACAACCACAACGATGAGATTATTGCGCACACCCACAGGCTTTTTGATCATCAATCTTACCTCGAAGTAGTTCAGCAAAAAGCGCCACTTTAGCGCGCTTTTCTCGTGCTCCGCCAGTCGATCGAAGTCTTCCGCCCGAAGACCTAGGATCCGTTCTGCCGGATGTCCAGCTAACCGGGCTTCGACGAGAGTGCCCGTCTGGTCGGACAAATGAATGTTGATATTGAAGTAGCTGATATATCTTGGCTCATCATTGGCGTGTGAAAAGTCCAACTGACAGGCGTCCGAGGCGCAATCTTCCAGATTTCGTGGTATAAGCCGTTGACAGGCAGTGCTGCAAAGTAAAAGTGTGTATTAGATTCGTGGAAAAGTATTTAACAGATAGTGAGAAGCGTTTCGGATCCTACAAAGTACACTAGTGGAGTCGATTTGGTCATGTTCGGCATGCGGTATGGGTAATAACACTTACCATTTCCTGTTGATGTGGGAAGTCAATCCATCCAAGTCGAACTTGGTGACCATTCCATACAGCACTGCTGTAAACTGCTGTATGGACGGATCCTGCAGTTCGCCCTCGGCGCGGGAATATATCTGTCTAACCGTCATCTGCGCCTGAATGCTGGCAACTAAAAATAACACAGAAGAAATTATATTAAATACTAGGCCCGGATCTTTAGTCTTCAATCACCTGCAGGCAAGTTGTCCAGCTCTGACTGGGGGCAGCCACTAAAACTTGTTAAAGGCACAGTGTCGGCGAAAGCTAGCAAAAGGCGGCAATCCTCTCCAGCCGCCTGAGGATTTTCGCAAATGAGCGTGCAATTTGTATGGGAGAGCACGACACAACGATGAAAATTCGAGTAGGAAACACGCACATCGATCAAATGAAGGACAGTGCGAAGTGGCTGCCATTGCTGGGCACGTCGTATCCAGTCGGATTGCCAAACGGAGAGCAACATGCCCTCAGGATAGCTGGCATCGATCACTATTACCTCCAAACAGTGCAGCAGCTCTTGGACCTCACTGTGTGGTGCCTGCAGCTTTCGCTTAATCTGACGCACTGGACGCACTGCAGCCACGACCACTAGTAGATTCACATTGGTGGTGATTATTTTATCGGGGGATCCGAGGCCGGAACGGACATCCGCCAACTTAAGTACCGCTCCAAGTGGCCTAATGGGTCGCTGGAGCAACTGTTGGAGGATTGTTATGTGGCCAGAGTCGTCGTTGTCGTGGCGTACAACATACCCAGATCCTTCGTTTACCACCAGGGCGCAGGAGACCGTCGCTTGGGGCTGGTAACGCTGATCTCCCGCAGGCGCCACCGGTATGGACATCACTTTGGCGCCCACAATGTCTACCACCTGGCCGATCTGCAGCATGGCCATGTACTCATCCACACAGGCCCGCTGACCCCAACACTTGCAATTGGTCAGGTGATTGGGGGAATCTCGGATTGTCAAGGTGAGGACTCCCCGTTCGGTGCCACTCATCTTGTCGTAGAATATGTTCGGCGAGGATTTGGACACAATCAGCGCAACGGTGGAGAAACGGGTCATTGTGGGCCGCATTTCAGCCAAGCGCTGGAAATTTACACGCCTTGCCATGAAAATTATTAAAGAACTCTACAACAGGCAGCTTGCGGCGCATAAGAAAACCGTTATATTGCCGTTACCGCCGATTAGTGGTTATCGAAGTTTTCAGTGATGGCACACTGATAGCGGATAGCGGTAGTTTTAGTTTCGAACAAGGGGCTAACAATGTTAAATTGAATTGATAAAAATAAAAATAAAAACCCAAACATTTACAGGAAATTATGCTTATTTAATGTAACCCTTGCAATCGATAGTAATCGGAAGCCATACCATCCCCAATAAGCTGACACACACTACGCATATGTGCACACGCACACACACACACAAGAAACGGCACAGATTTACTGCGTTAAACAAACTCACTTGTACTTTTTCTACGGCCAGTGCCCTGAAACTGAAACCCAACCGCCGGTGCAAAGCCAGATTAGGTCCAGGACAACCGTCCAGCGCAGTGCCCCAGGAGCATTAGACCGGAGGAGCAACAGTCGAGCAACCCGCGACCCGCAGACCCAAATTTACCCACTTTTGGCAGCCCACAGCCACTCAAAATGGTCAAGCTGTTCGCGTTGAGCATCTTCCACAAGGGCGCCAGCGAGGCGCGCCTCCTAAAGACCGCCTCGGACCTGCAGTCCTTCTCCTTTTTCCAACGTGGCACCGTCAACGAGTTCATGACGTGAGTATGCATGTGGATGCCACAGAACGGCGCAGGCTCAGAGTCTACAATGACGAACACCCTCTACAACTTTTTCTCTTGCAGTTTCGCCTCGAAGACAATTGTGGAGCGGACACAGCCGGCTCTGCGGCAATCGGTGAAACAGGATGCCTACATGTGTCATGTCTATGTGCGGGCTGACAATTTGGCCGGTGTCCTGATCGCCGATCATGAGTATCCGCATCGCGTGGCGCACACGCTCATCACAAAAATTCTGGATGACTTTACGGCCAAGGTGTCCGCCGATCAGTGGCCCAATGGCACGGAGGCCACCATCTCATTTGACTTGCTGCCAGCTTTTCTAGCACGCTATCAAAATCCCGTCGAAGCGGATCCGCTGACGAAAATGCAAAACGATCTGGACGAGACGAAAATAATTCTGAAGAACACAATCGAGGCGGTGCTGGAGCGGGGCGAGAAGCTGGACGACATGGTCAGCAAGTCGGAGAAATTGTCGCTGCAGAGCAAGGCGTTCTACAAGACGGCGAAAAAGACTAACTCCTGCTGCAGCTTCACCTAGGCGCCTCTGTTCACCTAGACATCTCATTCCCCCACCACACTCTAATCCTCTCAAGCAGCAGTAGCAGTAGCAGCAACAACAACAACAACCACCATCACAGGAAACACCAGAAAATGCAAATCAAAGACAACACAAAGGATAATGGATAACACGATAACACCAACAAACTACAACCAAACAAACTCCTAGGGAGCGGTGCGACTTGGGTTTTGATGATTGCTTTTTATAAATGAATTAGTTAATTTTATATACTATATATATAATATACAATACTGTATGAATAGGAAGGCCAGTTGCCAGTTATGATAGTCCGCTAACCCAATGTCTAACTGTCTGCGGATCTTTGAGTCTTGTCTGTATATGTCTACTCTTTGGATATCTAAATGTTAATTACTAACAATACAGATTACGATCTAAACCCATGTGCTTACACATAGTGTTCTCTTATCTGTTACGGAGGTCCGAATTTGACTCTTCGCTAGCTATTGATGTTGTGGGCTTTCTTATCGCCTCCCCGGCGGATCTATGTATACCTATTGGATCGGGAGGCTGCAGCTATACACATACAGTCGCACTTCCGATCTGGGCAACTGGCGGTCGGAATGTGTGGGCGTTTCAATAAAGAAGTATTATGGGAAATGTGATTGGAACCGAGCTTGTTTTTATTGCTTACGAACGAACTTTTCTTTATCTCTGCCACTCTTCGCAAAATGTACAAACTTTTTCGTTTTTGAGTTCAAGCTCTGAACATATTAATTTAATTTTTTTGTAATACATACCATTTCGTTTTTAATTCCATAGGATCTCCAACCCCAAACCTCAAAAAAAAAAATCAAAATCAATTTAAAAGTGATTTTTGTTGGCGTTTATTTATTATATAGAAGATACCTATTTCGCTTTTTGTAAAGATTTCCGTTACATATTTCATATTTATGCGTTTTTTTTTTTTTTTTTTACGTTTTCGTGTTTAACATTTTAGGATTTGGGACCAAGGGGAAGGGGTTTGCTGTCCAATTTCTAAGTGAGGACGGGGTTATGTTTATGGGTTCGTATATTCTAGTATAAGATAGGTAAATTGATTACAATTTAGTTTTCGCCCCTTCTCCGTCGCAATTTTCTTGCGCTTTGCGACGGGAAAATGGGGAGGCGGTGCATTATAAATGTATGCATTATATTACATACCTATATATCGTTTTGTTATAATTAATATAATATTGTGTGTGCTAACTTAGCTTAAGCAGCAAACATTCATTCAAACGCGTTTGCTTGGCTTCTCGTTTACTGATTTGCATCAACATTGTATGCATCATTTTGTGTTAGTGATCTATAGTAATATTTAGAATTTACTCAAATGGTTCGCTTTGAATACATGCAAGTGTAAATATTAGTTGATGTAATGTTCTAAATGCACGCTCCTTCGAAATGGCTAAGAATTTGCATTTGTGTTATTCTGGTATGTGTATTTTCTTAATTTGTCGCTAAAATTTGCATTGGTCAACACAACAAATGAAAATCAAGAATAGTTCACCTCCTTATCAAATCAGTAAAAATACGTGTATGTGCGGCTGGGTGAGTTTTGTATTCGTTTAAAAACTAGTTTGGATAAATTGTTGGCTTGCTTGCTTTTGATTGAATTTGTATTATTTAGGACTTAGTGGGGGATCCCCGTTTTATCGAATTGCAATCGAAATACGTACAAGTAAGGTTCTAACGTGTTTCGTTTACGCAGCTGTTATCACAATGGGTTTTGGTTTCAACTTGTATTATTTTTATTATTTTAAAGTTAGTTCCGTCTGACGATGGCAACTTTAGCTTACATGCTCCAGCTAAATGTTATTTGCTCAACAAGTCTGGTGTTTAATGGTATCCTTATTTTGTTTTTAGAACCCTCAAAAGACGCTCCTAACTTTGGCGCTTAAAAGTATGCTTGTTTTGTAGGTCTTGCGAGCCCAGTGGGCAGCACAGGATGTGCCCACTGTGCACATGTAATGTGTTCTTTTGTGTTTGTATCATCTATAAGAAACTTGTCTGTGTGGGTGGGTGTTGGCTTGTATGTGTCTTTGTTTAATTGATGTCGTGTTAGTGTGTGTGTGTGTGTATGTGTCCGAGTGCGTGGGTGTGTGCGGGTGTTTTGCTGCATTTTTGGCACTTGTGCGCATCGCACAGTAACGGTAAATGCATTCACTTTATCGACTTTATCGACATTGATATATGTATGCACATACATACACATATATACCTTTTTTGGTTTACCAACGAAAAAGCTTAAAACAAAACAAATAAAAAAGTAAAAACAAACGCAAAAACGAAAACTAAATCAAAAACGCGTATTTGTGTGTGTGTGTATGTGTGTAAACGATTTTTAGTTCTCTAAGTAAACGAAACAGAAAATAAGTATTAAAAGAAAAAAAAAACAACTATACAAACTATCGAAATAACGGCACTTCGTTGCACTTTCTCCGTTATTCGCTTGTTCTTGCTTCAAACAATTGAATTCATTTTGTTTTTGGCTTTAGTCTTTCGTCTTTATTTTTGGTTGCATTTTTTCAAAAGTTGCAATTCTATACTTTCAAAAATATATGTATATGCGAATTTCTATCGTTTTAAATCTATCGTTTTAAGAAGAGACTGCGAGCGAGAAATATATCGTATAAGGGGGGCGGGGCGGGGGGCTGAGAGAGATAGGGATGGAGACAGAGATAGAGCGATCGATTTGGACTTAAACGAAGGACTTGCCTCAAAAGTGCGAAGGGAACAACGAATTCTCCGCTTTCCCCTTCTTCTGTTTAAGGGGCTTTCGGTTTCAGTTACTCTTAAATTTTATCAGTTTCAACTTCTTTTGCTCTTTTTTTTCTCGTTTTTTGTTTTGTTTTGATTTTGTGTGTTTCATTGTTTTTTTTTTGCATTTTTTTTTAGTTTGTTGGTTTTTCGCAGTGTGTACACAACAACTTATAGATAAATACAATACAAATATCGCGCTCTATAGTTTTATTTCTTCAAAAAAAGAATGTATGCCTCAAGTCATCCATAATACATTATATTGTAGCCATCAGACATTGTCTATGAGCGACAACGACAACGACAATAATACAAATACATAACATATATTCATATTCCTCTTCTGATTCAGATACTGATTTCGATTCAGATTCAGCTTCAGTTTCAGCTGCCTCTGTTTCAGTTTCAGTGTTTTTGGCCTGGCCGTTTTGGGGGCACTGCGATTACTTCATTTAAATTGGTTATTAATTAGTATTTTTGTATTTTCGTTTGTTTATATAAGTCTATCACATCATCACAATTCGGTTGCATCGAAATTATAATAAAGAAGTATGAAATTATGAAAATAAAAACGTTAATTCACTTGGTAAATTTGCGTATACGCCTAGAGTATATATAAAAAAAAACCATTTAGTTGTAGGTTTCAAATCCCGTCTCCAATGATTTTCAAAATGTATGGAAATCTACCAACCCCAAAGAAACCAAAAATGAAATGAAATAAATGTGAAATTCTCTATGAATTATAGGTCTATATAGAAGAATTCGAGTCTTCCGTCCGTTTGCTTTAAAAAGAGATCCTTGTGTTGACGATATACCCTATATAAATATTCCCTCATGTTTTCCCCGTTTTATATTTGCTAAAAAGAAACCGTATAAGTAGAGAACTAATAAAAAATGAATAGAAATGTTCCTTTCACATCCCCCCGATCGGTTAGGCTAACAAATATATTTATAATATAATCTACATGATTTTTCAACTATTTCCCTTGTGTTCTTGTTCTCACACAATTCCAATGTAGAATATTCCCTTGTGTCCGTTACGTTCTCCAAAATTCTTCGGCTTTTTGTACTGCTTTCCCGTGGCGAGGATAACGCACTGCTTGCAACAACATGGACAACTGCTTGAACAGACGATATTTGGATATATTACTGCTAACTATATGACTGGAGCTGCCAATTAATGTTACTACTACTTATTTACTCGTCCTGAACTCTGGCCAAAAGTATTCGGAAGAGGAGGAAAATTAAAGGGAAATTAATAATACAAGTAAAAACGATTTTCAAATCAAAAAATAAAGATATGGGGAAACGAAAAAATAGTTTTTTGGAATAGTCAGAAGTATGCATTATGTTTGCTGTATTATTATTATCATTATTTTCGTGTGGCATTGCTTGGCATTATTCGATCTTCTAACCTTGTCTTGTGTTCCTCCTTCTTTTCTTCTTGTTTCGTATTCGCTTTACTTGTTTTTATGGATGAATTTGGCGTCTTTTCTTTTTTCTTCGCTTTCTTTCTTCTTATTTTCAACTGCTTCTGTTCTTTGTTCTTTGGAATAATTGAAAATTGTAATTGAATTTTGCTTTTTTTTTTCAAGTATTTGCATAGAACTTTTGAAAAAACCTCGTTAATTTATGCGAATGTTGTGTTAGGGGATTATTATCGAATTCTATAAATCTTCAACAAAATGAGTTTTTGTTTTAATCTCCATTGAAAATCAAGCTCGAATCTACATATGCATGTAAATATATAATTGGCATATATAGAATACACACATATATGTATCAAAATGGGAAATTAAATGATAACTGTAAATTTGCTTGTCCTAGTGGTGTTCGTGATGTGTGTGTATGAGTTGTGTGTGTGTTGAGTGCTTCTGTGTCGGTGTGGGTGTGTGTGCGTATGCTTGTGTGGGTTCTATGTGGCTGTGTACGTGTTCTCCCATTGCTTTATAATTGTTGTATTATTATCGATTGTAACTTGTTAGTTTTTCTTTAACATACTTCCTACCAAAGCAGCGCTGCCCATTTCCCTTTTCTCCTATTTTGGATTTGGCCAAAACATAGGTGTTCATTATATATCTCAACCGTTAGCTGCGATTTCTTAAATGGAATTTGTATAGAATTTAGTCAGTTTTCCCTTTGTTGTAATTGTTTGTTGCAATTTCGCACGGATAATATAAATGTCTAGAAAATAATTAAACATGTATTTAAATATGTGTTATTATAAGCAAACCGTTCATTTCATACCAACCAAGTTAGTAAAAAGGGCTATTTTTTCAATCCCTTACTTTGTTTTTGACAATTTTCGAATTCAATATTTTTTTTTGGTTGCGTGCTTGTGTTCTTAGCATTGTGTAAAGATTGATATACACGAATTTACAAATATCACTTAATTAACAGTGTCTGTATCTAGATCCTTATTTATTTTAGGATAACATAAATGTATGAACGTTGATCCACCAACTGAATGGCTATAAAACGCTGAGTATACTTGATTTTGCCTGGCGAAAAAGAATAATAATTATAACCTACTTAATTCCGTTTAAACATTCGAAGAACATGCAACTGTCGGTGTGTGTGTCTGTGTGTGTGTGGAAAAGCCTAAAAACTACAATAATCGTTCCCTTTCGAGGTGTTCTTGATTTTTGTTTCGTTTTACCTTGCGTTTGAAAAACATAAGAGGGTTTCGTGGGCGATTATCCTTGCGTTGGCTGTGCGGGGCAGAAAGATCCATTAAAAACTAGTTACGTCACATGTTAAATAGCACAAACTTACCCCTGATTAATGATGGTTGGTGCTGCTTGTCCAGAGAACAGTACGAATGAAAGATTGTGGGAGGGTTAAAGGGGGTTTAGATGTCAAATTGTATCGCAAACCCAAGCTGTGAATGCTTAAATGAGCGACAGAGAACACAATATTAGTAGCAAGGTGGGAAGAAATATAGAAAAAAAAAAGCAACGAGTTTCGCTCAGAATTTCAAGAGCACCTGTTAATATGCTCTTATATGTATGTTGGCAAAATTATATCCTTTCATTCTTTCATTTATCATCATAATGCATTTGGATTTCATGAGTGTGGTTAATTGATGATTTCTTTGTCCATGTCGTTGGTGTTGTTAAAGTAGGTTAAATTTCTTGTTGCTTGCATTGTTATTGATGTTACTAAAGCTGTTGTTGTTGCTGTTGTAGCTCTCCACGATCCACGATCCACTCCCATTTCGTCCCATGAGCGCGACAACTTATTGGTGTCCCGCCTGCTCAATGGCCTGGCCGGGACCTGGTCCGGGTCCTGCCACGGCTGTGGCGAACTGGTGATGTTGGGCAGCATAGTAGGTGGCCGGCATGCTGAACTGGTTGGCATACGGATTGGTGCCCGGCGCAGCGGCGGTGGTCAGAACTCCGGCAGCATCGTACATGTAGGCGGCCCCTGGTGCCGGAGCCACAGTTGCGGCTCGTCCGGCGGCTGCTGCAGCGGCAGCAGCTACGGCCGCAATAGGTGGCGAATTGGCTGGTGTATAATGGACCAGCGAGGTGGTCACCGCAGCCGGTGCTGCATACTTGTTGCCCTCATCCTTGGGCGGTTTGGTCTGTTGGCCTGCCTGCTGCTGTTGTTGCTGCTGATGCTGTACGGCCGCCTGCTGACCGTAGTGGGCCACTCCTTGCTGCTGGTACTCGCGCTTGGGATACTGCTGGAATCGTGGTGGCATGCCACCGGCACCGGCTCCCTGCGGCGCAAACTGGCCACGTCCGCGATATGCCTGTGGCATATACTGACCGCCCTGTTGGGGTGCCATGTGCGGCTGTGGGCCACCGCCTACGCCGGCTGCTCCGCCCACACCGCCTGCTCCGCCGCCGCCACCCTGATGGCCCATAATGGCACGCGGCCCGCCATTGTTGAACGGAGCCCTCGGGCGATAGGTGTTGCCATTTCGCTGCTGCTGTCCAGCTCCTCCATCCTGTCCCATTTGATTCATGCGATTCCAATTACCGCCGCCACCATTCTGCTGATAGTTATTGCCGCCAGCGGCATACTGCTGGTAGCTACCGCCAGTTGGGGGGCCGCTGCGATTGTTGTTATAGTTGTTACCGGCCTGGTAATTCAGCGGATTGTTATTGCGCTGCTGATAGACGCCGTTGTGGCCGCCAGTGTTGCGATCCCCGCCACCGTTGTTGTTCCAGCGCTTGTTGCCGCGATAGCCGCCCGAGCTTGGCATGGAACGAGCCAAGTCCAAAAGAGCCTGCGACGGCGTCTGGCCAGCCTCCTCAAGCACAGAGATCAGTTCACGCGCCTGCTTGGCATTGTCGGGCGTGAAAAAGGTGTAGGCAGTTCCCAGCTGCTGGCAACGACCAGTGCGCCCGATGCGGTGCACATAGTTCTCCGAGGAGTTGGGGTAATCATAGTTAATTACGTACTGCAGATCCTCCACATCCAGACCGCGCGAGGCCACATCGGTGGCAATCAGAATGTTAGATTTGCCATTACGGAAATCCTTAAGCACTGAATCCCGCTCATTTTGAGTCTTGTCGCCGTGAATTGAAGTGGCGGTGTACCCTTCGGTACGGATGATCTGCAAGATGTCCTCCACCTGGATAGGGGTAAGAAAAAGGTAGAAAATTAGTGAGGTCATGTTTCCAATTTCACATAAACATTATGTTCTTGCTAGATATCTAGACGGGTCATTTCAGAGAGAAATGCAAGGAAAATGCAATTGTAATAAACAAAGAATGCGTCACTATCTAATGACATGACTTCGATGTAAATCGAAAGGAGAAAAAATGATATTTGCAAATAAACAGTATAGAATTCTTATGAAGTCCGCTAGTGTCTGATGACATTGCTTCAAGGTAAACCGAAAGAACGAATGATGATTAGAATTCGTTAAGTCAATTGGAAATTAGAACTCACCTTGATCTTGGTCTCCACAAAGATGATGATCTTGTTGCCATTGTTGGCCGAATTCTTGGTGGGAGCGATCTCATTGAGCAAGCGCACCAAGCGCTGCGGCTTCTCCATTTCGGTGCAGATCTCGACAATCTGGCGAATGTTGTGGTTGGCCGATAGGTTCATGGAGCCAATGTTAATTTGGATATAATCGTTCAAAAAGTCGCCGGCTAGAGCCTGTACCTCCTTGGGCCAGGTGGCGGACCACATGACGACCTGGCGGTCGGGACGAATCTGCTCAATGATCTTACGAATCTGCGGCTCGAAGCCCATGTCCAGCATGCGATCGGCTTCGTCCAGCACCAGATAAGTGCATCTCTGCAAGTTAGTGTTGCGATTCTCAAGGAAATCAATTAGTCGTCCTGGTGTGGCGATTATGACCTCGACGCCGCGGTCAAGATCGCGTGCCTGCGGCACTTTCGATGAGCCGCCAAAGATGCAAGTGTGACGAATCTCGGGCTTGCACAGATGTCCATAGTCTCGCACGACCGATTGGATCTGCTGGGCCAGCTCTCGGGTGGGGGCCAGCACCAGAGCAATGGGTCCTTCACCGCGTATTATGGGCGGCTGATTGCCAATGTGCACGATGGCCGGCAGCATGTATGCCAGCGTCTTGCCGGAACCGGTCTGGGCAATGCCCACCAAATCGCGACCACTTAAGGCAATGGGCCAGCCCTGCGACTGGATAGCAGTGGGCTTGGTGAATCCCTGGCGCTTCATCTCTTCAATAACGTGAGCGGGCAGCGAGCTCTCCTCGAAACTGACCACCGGGTGCGGTAGTTCGTTGCCAGACACTGTGATTTCCAGTTCGCGGCGTATATCGGCCACCTGCTGCTCTGATTTGGCTAGTGTATTGGGATGAATGTTGTAGAAATCCTTGTGGAACGGCTCAAGATTCTCCCACTTGGGTTTCACTAGATTGCGGCCGGGATTCTTGGCCTTTTCGCGTTGGATCTCGGCACGCTCCTCTTTGGAAAGCATGCCCAAGGCAGCAGCATTGTAGTTATTGTTTTGGTAGCCACCGCCACCTCCGCCGCCGTTGTGCGGCTTCTGATAGCGCTGTGCGTAGTTTGGATTTTTGCCACGGGGTCCTCCATAGCCGCCAGCTCCACCGGATCCGGCACCGCCACCACCGCCGGCGCCTCCTCCAAGACCATTACCGGCGAAGGCAACACCGTTTTGCTGGCGATACGGATTACCGGCACCAGATCCGGCGGCTCCCATTCCCAGACCATTCTGGATGCCATAGGTCATCACGCCATAAGGCTGGCCAAAGTGCATGCTTCCAGCGGCAGTGGCTGCTCCGTTGATGGCAGCACCACCGGCAGCGCCGGCGAAATTGCTGCGCGGATAGTAGGGACGGTCGTGGCGTGGGGCACCATTACCGCCACCGCCAGCGCCTGCGGCGGCACCATTGCCATAGTAACCGCCGCCTGTATGCTGTTGAACACCGCCGGCGTTGGGTGCATATGCTCCGGCGTACATCGTGTGCTAAATCCTGTCGAGAAATGAACAAAAGATCAACGGAATCGCATGGAGGTAACCCGCACACACCACCACAAAGACTTTGCACTTTTATAACTGTTAAGAGCGCTCTCGCTCTCTAGTATTTCTGCCGCTCGGGAGTGTAACTATAAATAGAGAAACGAAACGCGTTTGACTTTTAGGACAGAGGCTTGCTTCGAAGGGGGACGAAGGGTGGGACTCAGTTTCGAATGGTGAAGAGCGGGGGCGGTTCCATCACCCACCCACTAGCCACCACCGAAAAATCAATACAGCATCGCCAAATGCACATGAGACGCGAAGAGAAAGGGACAGAGGAAGAGTGATAGCGGGAGAGCGAAAGCAGGCGCAAGAGAGGGACAAGTAGAGTGCACCGCAAGGCGAGGAAGCGAGAGCACGCTTCACATTTAGAAAAACACTCAAAAAAGTGCACTGCATTTTCACGCCTCACACACACACGCACTTACCTTTTTTCCTGTTGCGACAACTGCTGCCTGTGTGTGAAATTTTGGATGAGCCTTACTTGTGCGGGGAGCTTCAAATTAATGTATTTATGCGCAGCAATTTGACATTTGCTCCCCAGGCAACCGGGTTTTAGGGGTACTAGATGTGGGTTTTTCTTCGGTTGTCCAAGTCTCTTCGATTTTTTCGATCCGTTTCGTTCACGTTCCCTTTCCTCGCCCTGTTCCGTTCGATTCGATATTCTGCGTTCTCTTGCTCTCTTCGTCACGCTCACACGCCTCTTGCAAACTTCTCTTTTTCGCTCGACTTTTGCCGAGAGCTAATGGTAATTATTTTGCAATTATTCCTTCGCCACGGGAAAGTAACCGTAAAGCTAACTAAAGGTGTACTTGGTTAAACACTAGGAGCGAGTTAACTAAATCTAATTCTTGTATTTTAGATTTTTACAACAAAAAAAAACGCGCTCAGCAGTAAGTTGCATGTGAACTATAGAGCTGGAACAAAAGTCGATGGTAATGCGAAACGTTCAATGTATTTTGACATCGATAGGTCGCCGTGAAGCTATCGATTACTTTTATTTATATTTTACTGCAACTATTTTACCGTTAAAACCTAAAAACAAAACCTAATATTAAAAAAAAAAATGTGTAGCTAATTAAAAAAATGAATATTTAAGAAAAAATCAGATTAAATGAATTAAGCATTTATAGCATTTCTATAATTTTTAATAAAATAATGTTACAAATATTTGTATGGTACAAATTGCTAAGAATTTAAAAACGGCTATAATTATGAAATCATTTATTGTGAGTGGTTTTTATTTTAATCAATTATTCTTTTTTTCCCCTCCACAGTTAAACAAATTGCTGTTTGTTTTTTATAATTAACTTATCAAATGGAAGGCAAACACTTTATAGACCTTAATTTAAGACCGAATATGTAAACAATCTAGCTAAGCGCACAATTCGCCAACAAATTAATTTAATGTCTTAAACAAGTGCGTTAAGGTGATGAAATCTCCAACGGGACATATATTGAAAGGCGGTTAATCTTGTTACATATATGCTATTTACACGATTTTAATCCCGACTGATATCACAAACATCAACGTCATGCTGAAATTAAAGGGACTTCAGGACATTAGTTGGCGGCCAGTCGCACAAGCAGCTTCCGCCGGTCCTCGTCGATGGTGGCCAGGAATTTCTGAACCCGCTCGCTGTAGAAGTCTGTTGCCTTGGCCAGCTGGCAACTCTGCATCCTCTCCGCTCGCCGAAAGTCCTCTAGCTGCCAGCGGTCACGCTGGTAGGCCAGAATGCTGGCTAGGAAGTGCCAGAAAGTGATCTGCGGCCACAGGACGTTGCTGAAGTACAACACGGATGTGCTTAACTGAAATGGTAGAGAGTCGTTTAATATTTAAACTTTTCAGCATTATCAAATACCGTATTGCAAAACTGTGTAAAGTTCAATTCTGAAATGCATTTCATGAAAATGATGCAATCGAAGCGCTAAATTGAATATTAAATGAATGAAGACTGGGCACAGGTATGTAACTACTAAACCACCAAAAGAACTAAATTATTGGGAAACATGCCAAATAGGGTGACTAACCACCTGTTTCTGGAAGAGATCATTCTACACACCTGCCACATCATGAAGTCGCTTAGCCTGGTCTCGCCGGAGGTGCGGAACACCAGATCCGGTGGCGGTGAGTGCCGCGTGTAGAGGCATTCCTCCAGCAGCCGTTCACTGATGTCTTCGCCAGCCAAATCCTGGCTGCCGTGTCGCAGTATCGTTTCCACCGCCTGCGTAATCTCGTCCCGCGAAGTGTACGCAAAGGCCACGTTCAGGAAGAGTTTGTCATTGCGCTCTGTGCTCAGCATAGCCGAAGCTACCAGTTTCTGCAAGTCGAGTGGCAGTAGCTCAATGTTTCCAATCACCCGAATGCGGATGCCATGCTCGTCCAGTCGAGCAGTCTCCTCCAGTAGGCGGGCAAACTTCTCCCTGGCCAAATTGAATAGTCCCTCCACCTCCTCGTTGGAACGCTTAAAGTTCTCGATGCTGAAGGCAAAGGTGGTCACCTCGCGGACGCCCACGTCCAGACACCAGCGCAGGCAGTCCGCAAGCTTCTCAAATCCCCGCGAATGACCCTCAATCTTATCAATCTGCTGGGAGCGGGCGAACCGCCGATTGCCATCCATCACGAAGGCGACGTGGTGCGGAATATAGCCACAGGCGCGTAGCCCCCGCATCGCTAGCCGCTCCGTCCATGTGTACTTGTAGTCAGAGACCCACGACATGGCCTTTGAGTTTAGTTGGACACCAGCAGGTCAATAAAGTAAATAAATATTCCTTTATTTTATTTTTTAGGCTGTCTTGTGATTAGAGCTGTCACTTCCTCAGCCGCTGCCAATCGACTGCGGCGCTATCGATAGTTTAACATCACTATATAAGAAACAGTGTGACCGTATGCCGCGGCAAAATAAATCGCTGTTCATCTCGGACACGAACCATTCCATAGTATAGACACGATCCTCCGAATGAAAGTGTGACCGTTGTACGGTATAACTTTAATACCACTAAGCGAAGGCTCGACCCATGCTTATATGATTAGCCCAGACATCTACCGCCTTAGAAAATAAGCGCAGAAATGGATTTTGCTGATTTTTTCCGTTCTGACGTGGCTATAGTTTTATACCATAAAGCTGTTTTAAGATGTTTTACGTTTTATAAAAGGGCTAAACCAATCAAAAACCGCACAACAAACAATCCATTTAGAAGTCCGCCAAGGGTTCGAAACCCCGGCCAGCTCACTATCGATAAACTATCGCCACCCATCGAGAAACTCAGCAACCCTGTCATTTTGACAGCTACGTCAACCTTCTTTTTTGATATCCGGTTCACGCAAGTGGTTCGTCTTAAATTTATCCCTCTTAATTTTTGCGAAAAAACCCGACTTTGAGCTCTTTTGAGACTTAAAAAAATGTGTTTCCCTCAAGAGTGTTCAAAGCGCCGACTGAAAACGGCGAAAAAGCTGCCCGGCAGTTAATTTTTTTTACGTTTTTTGTTTTGTTTGTGCGCACGCATTTGTTTTGGTTTGTGAAACACGTGGTATAAATGTGGAAATTCCCTTGCTATTCCCGCAGTTGCTGATCGACAAACAAACCCAGAATGGCACCCAGGAAGGCTAAAGTTCAGAAGGAGGAGGTGCAGGTCCAGCTGGGACCCCAAGTTCGTGACGGCGAGGTCGTGTTCGGAGTGGCTCACATCTACGCCAGCTTCAACGACACCTTCGTCCATGTCACGGATCTATCCGGTCGTGAGACCATCGCCCGTGTCACCGGAGGCATGAAGGTGAAGGCCGATCGTGATGAGGCTTCGCCCTACGCCGCTATGTTGGCCGCCCAGGTGAGTTGTGTATTCTCCGGTCCAGTTGAAGCCCGTCTAACGGTTGCAATCCCCTCCAGGATGTGGCTGAGAAGTGCAAGACGCTGGGTATCACTGCCCTGCACATCAAGCTCCGTGCCACCGGCGGCAACAAGACCAAGACCCCCGGACCCGGCGCCCAGTCCGCTCTGCGTGCCTTGGCCCGTTCCTCCATGAAGATTGGCCGCATCGAGGATGTGACCCCCATCCCATCGGACTCCACCCGCAGGAAGGGCGGTCGCCGTGGTCGTCGTCTGTAAATGGCGAAATCTGGAGAGCAGGAGTCCCTGTTTGTGGTCGAAATACAATACTGCATTTGTGTATGCGATAAGAAAGCTATTCTGTTTGTGTGCATAGGTGCACTGTAATAAACCAGGAAAATACGATGTAAATGACTACAAAACATTTTTGTGTGTTCATTGGGTTTGGTTTGGGGTCTGCGAGTGTTGCAATATTTTATTTTAAAAGATATTTTGCGAAATGTTTACAAAAATTGCCCATTACAAATCGCTGAGTTGCCACCCTGCCGTGCCGAAAGCGGTGGTAACCCGATAGCGCCACCGAAGTAACTATGCGTCGATAACTATCGCATTGACAGCTGTGTTGTTTTTGCTTTCTTTTTTTCGCATCCGGTGCACGCAATTGGTTGGTTTCCAGCTATTTCTCCCCTTTTTTTTTTGCGATTTAACTGCGACTGGCGAATTGGGCGGCAAAAACGAAAAGTTGCTACTTAATAAGATCCTCTATTAAATAATTCAACATAAATTTAACAATTTGGCGGGCGTTGTCAAAAGAGCAGGCGAATTAATTTGTTTCCCTTTTTTGTTGTTGTTTTTCTTAGTGTGTTGAACCGGCAATTAAAGATTGTGTTTTTTTTCCCTTTTAGTTGCTAATCGACGACCAGACTGTGCAGAATGGCTCCAAGGAAGGCTAAAGTTCAGAAGGAGGAGGTGCAGGTCCAGCTGGGACCCCAAGTTCGCGATGGCGAGGTCGTGTTTGGAGTGGCTCACATCTACGCCAGCTTCAACGACACCTTCGTCCATGTCACGGATCTGTCCGGCCGCGAGACCATCGCCCGTGTCACCGGCGGCATGAAGGTGAAGGCCGATCGTGATGAGGCTTCGCCATACGCTGCTATGTTGGCCGCCCAGGTGAGCAGTCGCATGTGCTAGGTTTATCCCGAGGAGAAAGCCTGTACCAATTCCTTGAATCCCCTCCAGGACGTGGCTGAGAAGTGCAAGACGCTGGGAATCACCGCATTGAACATTAAGCTGCGTGCCACCGGCGGCAACAAGACCAAGACCCCCGGACCCGGCGCCCAGTCCGCTCTGCGTGCTTTGGCCCGTTCGTCCATGAAGATCGGCCGCATCGAGGATGTCACCCCCATCCCATCGGATTCCACCCGCAGGAAGGGCGGTCGCCGTGGTCGTCGTTTGTAGAAATGCATCGTGCCACTCGCTGTTGACGCTGCGTTATTTTTTTATACTATTAAATACATGCATAAATGCAGTGGAAAGGGCATGTTTATGGGCTCATGTGTTTCAATTGTGGTCAGTAACCAGTGGCAACACGGCATAAGAGGCTGCTATCGATAGGTGGGGCTTGGGGCTACCACTAGTATATGTAGGTATTGTGCGGTCACACTGGATGAAATTCAAGACCTATCGGGGGCTATCGATATCCTGATATACACGCCAACGACGACCGTGTGTGGATTCGTGGAGCAAATCGAAATTGGCAGGACTAAAAGCATCCGCGAACGCAAAGGCAGCGGCTAAAGGGCTGCCCATGCACCAAAGACACTAACTAGCTGGCCCAGTGTTTCATTAATCTGCATTTAACATGCTGAAATCATCGTAATTGGCAAGTTCAATGCACGACTAATATATTTGGCCACACTTGCCAGTGTGTGTTTGTTTGTATGCGTGTCTGTTTGTGTGGTGTCGTGTCCGTGTGTGTTTGTGTGCCGCGACGAGTATGTGTGCGCACATATTCGTATATTTGCAAGACTCGCGGATGAAACGGCGTGAAAAGTGAGCAAAATATCGGGGAAAAACGGCACGGCACGGGCACAGAACGGAACGGTACGAGAAAAGGGCATCAGCCAGATAATTCCTTAATCCGGCGACGGGTGATGGGGATATAGCTGATATTGCTCATATAGACAATAGGTCGGTTGGACGACGTCGTCGAGTGTTAAACGTCAAAAATCATACCCAGGAACGGAGCTCGGATGTCGAAGCGGCTCCACTGAGTGTCAAGTGTTTGGTTTTGTGAAAATTTCCGTCTCCATCTCTCCGTTCGGCGTTAAGCCAACTTGCCAACCCTTTTCCCAACTCCTCCAAAAACCGTAATCCCCGAGACCCCTAAAGTTTCGGTCAAAATTTTCAATTGAACGCAACTCCGCCATAAACAAAAAAAAAAAAAGCAAAATTCGGCCCCCAGCCAAACAACAAAAAACAGAAAAAACAATCACGCAGTAACGCAAAAGAAGCAGCAGCAGCCGAAAAAAAAAAGACGAAAAGAAAACTTGTTTGAAAAGGCCGAACCGAGCGAAGAAAAAGAGCAGCCGCATAGCGGCCAAGTTTGGAAGAATTAAAGAATTTCAGCGTGCTAGGAACGGAGCACCGGAGCGGCGACGTCACCAAATAAACACCTAACACCATGGACGAGGATGACAACCTGTCCAATGTCGACATCAGCATCGATGATGAGGAGGTTGTGCTGGAGCGGACCCACAATGCGCCCATGCAGGGGGATCAAGAGCTGGTGGACGAAGACGGGTCATCCGACGTGGATCTCTCCTCGGTGTACGTCCTGCCACCCATAGTCTCGGCACCATCGCCCGCATCGGTGCGTATCGCTGGTGGATCCTCAGGTGGTGGCGGTGGAGTCGCAGCAGGAGCAGTAGCAACAACCACCACCGATAACTCGCATTCCCCCTTCCACGACTGGGATTCCAGTGTGGCGGGCGCAGCTGCTCCACCGCCGCCACCGCCCAGGGTAGGAGCAAGTACAGCGAGCTCAGGAACAGCAGCGGGATCGGGAGCAGCGGCCGCCTTATCCGGCGATGCCGGCGCCAAGCCAAGCTTCTTCTTTGGCGCCTCTTCGTTCAGTTTGCGCAGCCGCAAGGAGGTGGCTGCCCTGATCAACACGGAATGCTGCCGTGGCAGCCCTACACCCGATCTCGACTCCATAATGGACACCCTGTTCAATCCGGGCACGCCCATCGACAATCTGGACAACATCGAGTGGATACGATGGCTCATTGCCGGTGGACGGACACCGCAGGAGTTTGTTAAAATTGGTACGTCCAAATGTGTGCATATCGATAAGTTTGTTGCATTTTCTATCGCCAAACAGCTGATCACAAGTCCGTTGCCCCTGAAACTCAGCCCGTTTTTGCGTGTGTGTGTGTTACCTGCAAGATGTCCATGTGTCTGTGTGTGTGTCTGTGTAATGTAATGGTTTTAGGGCACGCAAAGAATAGGGAGAGAGGAAGAGAGCATAAAAGCAAGGTGCAAGGCAGCGTGAAGAGTGCGAGTGCACCACCATGGAAACAGCAATCAAGCGCTCTCACTCGCTCACACAATACACTCAACACACACACACATATATGCACTGATTAGGGGAGTCAACTTTAGCCCAATTTAATCTCAACTGCTCATCTATTTGCAATGCTGTATTTGTGCATAATTTTCATCATTACTTATTACTTTTTGTGCCAGGCTGCGTATGTCGCCAAAGTTGCCTTTATCGTTTACGGTTGTTTGTCGCGTCTGGTCTTGTCTTGTCCCACTTGTCAGCTCTAGCACACACATGCAAACGCACACATTGGCAGACTGACAGGCGTTGACGTACACGCACAGTGGAATGCAACTTGCACCTTGTGGCTTTGTGTCAGCTGTTTCGGTTCGCCTTGCGTAATAAATGCTTCCGCAGCATCCGTCCCAAAACCACACGCACACAAATGCAGATAGTGCTTGTTTATATGATGGCACCTTTTGTCACCGCTAAGTGCTCCGTTTTTTTTTATTATTTATTTCTCCCTCCTTTTCGTTTGTTACTCTGTTGCAACAGAACAATTGCAAAATTGCAGTGGTGCGGCAAAAGTTGATTGACCGTCATTGTTGTTGATTTGACAAAAACACGCACAGTAGGTGCGGATGTGATGTGGCCCACTGTAAGCTGTCATCGGCAATTGACTGAAAGACCGTTATGTTATTTTGATGCGTGGGGTGGGTGTGGGTGTGTGGGTGAGGGTGAGAGAGTGCACCTTCTTTCCGTTCCCATGTCATGTCACCTCCCCTTCGCTTGCACTTCCCCCTTGCTCCACTTTTCGGACCTTGACCAAAAGTTCTCAGTTAGAAAGAGACGGCTGAAGCAAGATAGGGAGAGCGAGAGAGTTGCCAACTTTCCGTTGATCGATCGCTATTACAATTTTACAACATTGTCAATCAACTTTCCGCTGCACTGTGGTTGTTATTGGCCAATCCATTTGTTTTCCTTCCGCATGCGGCGTCCGACAACGTTGACCTTTTTAGCCAACAAGGCCCAAGCGGAATACATATGTTTGTAAATATATATATATATATATGTATATAAACTACAAAACATAAAACAAACGTACATATGTATGTACGTACACATGCACATATGTACGCCCCAGAACGCAGCACGAAGACAAAAAAATCAAAGAGTCACGCAACAAGAAGCAAGAAATTAACTAAGCAATGAGTGCATCATTTTATTTTTGGAACTCAATCAAATCAATAGCAATAGCAAGGTAAGGCGGTCAGAACAAAACAGCTGGCCTCGACAGGTTTTACAATTTCACCTCATCGCGCAAATTCGCCAGCGAAAATGTATCGTTTCGTGATTAGAGACGGAACAATGTTCTGCAATCGACCGATTATTTTGATGCTTTTGCATATTAATTCGAATTCGAGTTCTATTGGATACAAAATCCTGATACAGCTTCTTAAGTCGAATTACCTCAGATATATTATACTCACTACTTAGAATAAATATATGTATGTTTTATCTTATAGTTTGTTTCAAAAATGTTCTAAAGTGTCATGATGAACTGACCAACAAGAATGACTTATGTACGTAAACCTATACAACTGTTCTTATGTACATTATTGTTCTGATTTCTTTATGTCCTTTTTAAAAGCCGCATTCCAATGACCCATCATATTTAAGAAAATCAATAGTTGGCCAGGGCCTTTCAAAGTTTTAACTTTTGAAGTGCTTGCGAATGTGTCTGTTGGTTAAACATGACAACTTTTTTAGCTCTGCGGTTCACTGCGGTTCCCTGCGGTTCCTCGCTCCTTATATGTCAAAACCTATTTTATAACTGCCTCCATTTCTACTTTTATTCTGATTGAACTGCTGAATTGTTTTTAATTTTTAAAATCGTATCTTGCAGTGCGCAGCTATGACAACCACGCCAAATGCGGTCTAGTATGGGTGCCCCATGTGGTGGCCTACAGGTGCCGCACCTGCGGCATATCGCCCTGCATGTCCATATGCCGGGACTGCTTCAAGAAGGGCAACCACACGAACCACGACTTCAATATGTTCCTGTCACAGGCGGGCGGTGCCTGCGATTGTGGTGACACCTCGGTTATGAAGGCGGAGGGTTTTTGCAGCGATCATGGCATCAATAACCGGGTTAATCGCGATCCGGTGCCCAACAATCTGTTGGCGGTAGCCGAGGCCATAATGCCCAAACTGCTGTTCCGCCTGTTGCAGCACTTTCGCGAGCACAGCGACACCCCACTGGAGGTACAAGCGATAACGTCGTACTCTTGCGAGGAGTTCGCCAACATGCTGATAGATCTGAACAACATGGGCGAGATAATGCGCAAAGTGATGACGCGCACACTGATTAATCCAGAGGTATATGAATACTTCATGGAAGCGCCGTGCCAGGACACGCGAAATGGACGTTTTTTGAAGGCGAACCGTGAGAAATACGAGGATGCGGTAAACAGATTCCCAAATCCAGAACCGCCCGATGAGTACAGAGATCTGCCCGCGCTGGGCGACAAATTGGTCCACACAACGCTACTCGAAGAGTTCATCTTTTGGACATTTAAGTTCGAGTTTCCACAGACTCTGGTCTGCTTCCTGCTGAACATGCTGCCTGATCAGGATTACAAGGTTAGTCCTGATGAGATCATGTGATTATATGATGATGAATATTTATTCCTTTTCCGTCCCATAGGAACACCTCACCCGCACATTTGTGATGCACTACAGCCGCATTCCGTCCGTGCTGGAAATGTCTCGTGATCCGGACACGCTCAGCAACCGGGTGGTCCACATGAGCGTCCAACTCTTCTCCAACGAAAGTCTCGCCCTCAAGATGGTTAATGAGCTGTCGCTGCTACACGTTATGATTATCAGTCTGAAGCTAATGATGTCCAAGATACTCATACAGAATACATTGCATGGTGAGAATTAGTTTGACTTTCCGACTGCCATCCTATTAACCATTTGTTTTTTCGTCCAGATCCCAACAAGAATTTCCATTTTGTCATCGACTGTACCCGTCAGGTGATGAAGGACCACTGCTACTGGCCACTAGTCTCAGACTTTAACAACGTCCTTTCACACGAATCGGTGGCCCTGGTCTTTCTGCGGGACGACAATCTCATCGACATGTGGTTCCAGTTTCTCCAGATGCTCCAGGGCATGAATGTCAATGTGCGGGAGACGGCTTCTCATGTGGAATTCGAGCCAAACAGCTACTATGCGGCATTCTCCTGCGAGCTTGAGGCCAGTGCCTATCCCATGTGGTCGATTATCTCGCATCTGCAGGATGGCACACACGCCCACCTGGCAAAGAAGATCATCAACTACTGTGTGACGACGCTGCACGAGTGGTTAGACTCTATTTACTTCATGGAAGCGCGTCTATCTATGGTTGGTGTTTTCATTCCGTTTACATTTATCCCAGTTTCAATAAATCCTTCTATTTATCCTTGCAGGAGGAGATGATGCAGGCTTCGTTCCACTTCCCCCTGCATCGCTATCTGGCTGCCTTTGTTTGCCAGGCGGTAACTAAAATGGGAATTAGTCTGAACGATGTGCTGCCCTCACGACCCTATCTGCTGCCCCTGTTGATGATCCATCCACTTCGTGTCCAGGTGAGTCTTCCATCCATTAGTTCGCTTAATTTCGTTTAAAGCAGCAATAAGGTCTTCGGTTCTGTGGGTTCTCAGATTCAAATTCTCTTTATTTCTTTTGTTATGGCTAAATTCCAATATAGTTTGTTTTTATATTCTCTTGCCTTGCCTGATTCTGCATCTCTTGCGCTTCGTTCTCTTCCAATCTCACTTAGACTATGCGACAGTTAATGCAAGTGTGTATTGATAGGTAGTGTACAACTAAAAAAGCTATGAAATATGTGCGGGATGGAACAGCACCGCTTCTCCGACTCTTAGAACTTATTATTTGGCACCTGAACGTGGGGCGTGAAATCATAGGTGATGATCTTGGGCCCCAGGAAGCCGCCGTAGCTGTTGCGGCCCTTGTAGTAGATGCCAATGCCGGCTAGTGGTACTGGTGGATTCGAGATCACGTCCTGGATGTCAATGAAGGGCACAGTGCTCTGGGCGGCATCCTTGTCCATTCCGGTGTTCGTGAAGTCGATGTACTGATTGTGCCGCGATAGAGGTATCGAGGGTGCAATTGTCCGCGTAGACACGTCGGCGTTGTTCAGATTAAGTTTCTGCCTGAAAGCGAGCGTTAGGGTATGGTTAGTTTTATGCTATTCGAGAATAGAGGACACTTACCTGCGTGTACCGCTGACATCGGTATTGTCGTTGGACTTCCAATAGCTATTGCCCTCCGGCTGGATGAGCTGCCCCGTCCGGAAATCAAACTCACTGTAGTAAGCCTCCAAATTCAGATGGGTGCCTATCACACGGAATCGCACGCCGGTAACCACAAAGGAATTGTCCTCCGTATCCACATCGTCCAGATCGATGGTGCGATTCTCGTAGCTCAACTTGTGATAGTCAACGCCATTCTTCACATGACGATCAAAGACGTTGTACTTCTCCACGGGTTTCCACTCCAGAGTGCTTTGATTGACAGTGCCACGCGGCAGGAGTTCGCCCTCCTGGATTTGCAGGTGGAAAATGCGATTTTGCTTTACAAAACGCAAACCAGTCACGACTCTAAAGAATAATTAATTACTATTTGTTAATAATTTAAAGCAACGAATTTAACTAGAACTCACCGGTTGCGCTTGACATCGGCGATCGTATCCCGCAGATTGAAGAAACGATCCGACTTCAGACCCTCCTCGTCGCACAGGCAGAAGCAGTAGCTGCAGTGCCAGAGGAGGTAACGCCACCAGCTGTCCACCTTGGTTGTGCCCCTGGTGCACTTACCCCGCTTGCCAAGGACGCGTCCGTTCTCGTACTCGATGTACTCGTAGCGCCTGGTGCTGTTTTGTGGCGACGGGCACACCCACATGTCGGAGTCTACGAACTGGCAGTTGTATAGGCGACCACTACATTTCGGCTGACGGGAACAATAGAGTTCCTTGAAGCAGCCTTCGCTGCGGGTCGACTGATAAAAGCTGCACGTCTCTCGGCAAGTTTCCTCGTTATTCAAATCCACTTCGTTTTCGATATAGCCTTGAAGAAGCCGGGTAACCTCGTCGTAGGTGACACCCTGGACATGTTTTGTCGGATCACAGCGGTAAACGATTCGATCAGCTCGTAGCATCACATCCTTGAGCATTTTCAGCGTGCGCTCTGTCCTCTTCTCATAGTCGGAACGCATGAGTTCCGCCTCCTGGGTGTAGTTGCCCTTCCCGTAGACCCGCAACATCATCCACGAGAACTCCATCATGGTGTAGGCTTTCAGTTCAGTGAGGGCTATATCTGCATATAGCGAGTAAATAAACTGCTGGGCCGATTGCATGGTAGTGCAAATTTGATTGGTGGACACCTGTAAGCAAGAAATTTGTTCGTATTATTGGGAAAGTCATTAATATGATCGATATCCAGCTGTTTTCCATCCACCCGCCTAGCATTCTTCACTAGGTACACGTAAAATGTTACTCTTGTTTTTAGCTCTAATTAGCTATCACATCTGGCTGTTAAAATCTCTGGCATACCAGTATTATTATAGGCAAGGTAATTACGAATCGCGTGGGGTTGTAAGATTAGATATTGCACATTGGGGTATGTGATATTCTGTGTATGTTTCCACGGAAATCTAATGATTTAACGATTATTTAATTTCAAAATTGCAAGCTTTTTTTTTGTTTTTTAAGAAGAAAACAAGGGATTCTTTGCCTTTTGTTTTAAAGTGCAGATGATCATAGCAATATTATACGTGTTGCAAGTTTCAGATTGCTATAATAGATCGTCGAATCTGTTTCTAACTAACTATCATGGCTCGGTAGTAGAGGGTCTGAGAAACCATCACTCGCTCGATTTCCTGCAGGATTCGTGGCATTGAGGCGGTGTTATCGTTGCGCAGGATTGCTCCGGCGAGATTTAAGACGGCCAGTTCATCCAATTCGACGCTGTTGTTCTGCTTGACAAAGGTGTCCTATGTGAATAATAGGAAGTTATGTTATGATCTATCCAAAAACAGTCCTTATAAAACGAAATACCTTGTAGGCATCGTAAAGCTTGCTGATATATATGAGATCCCTTTCCAGCAGCGACCATTCATAGTGATTAAGGATCTCGTAGCGATGCTCCTCAAAGGTATGTCTCATTTGGGGTTTCGCATCGAAATCGCGATGCGAATCGTATACTTTCCTTATTTGGGTTTCCTTATTGTTATGGCTATTGGCCGTTTTGGTCAGATAACTCCACAGGGCACGTTCCAGTGCAATATACTCGGTGCGCAGAGCGTCCACTTCGATTTGTGGGATAATTGGGTGCATCAATCCCGCGGACGATGCCGATTTCGTACATCCACAAATCACAATCGTAACAAGAACAACAACAAGAGCAGCTAATGTTCCGATAGGCGCCGCCATATTTACTCGCCCGATAAAATATATCTCCAGCCGTCCAGTGAATATAAGCTAGGGGTTTCCCTGTGTGGTTTTCAAATGATGTAGCCTTGAGTTCTGTGCTTATTTTAGTTCTTCCTCTTATACTTTGAAGTTGTACTTATTTCGTATGGAAGGGCAAGGCATGAAGAAGAGCAACAGCAGCTTGCACTGCTTGCTTTCCACAACTTCCTTCAACTGGAAACAAAGAATCCCGAGCCTCGTTTTAGGATTGTCGTCGTCGATGCATCAGAGATTCCACAATTTTTTATTATTTGCGATTTACTTTAATTCGCTCTCGCCTCTTGCCATATAATTTCAGATGGGTGTTGTTGTTCTGAGTGCTGTTCGGCTACTGTAATTTTTCAGTTTCTGTTTTAAAGCGCTCCACGCTCAGCGATTGTTTGTTTGTGTGTGTGTGTTGGTGTGTGCTCGTTGAAAACACAATACGAACAAAAATGGTTGATTGAAGCTCTTTTTTCATGCATTGTTGTTGTTCTTTTAACAACCAGACGACGATATGAGAAGCGTAAACACACACACAGACACAATGCTCGTGCTTGTGGGCAGTAATCACGAATTCAGCAAATTTTATTTGATTCTTCGGCTTCACACACTGCAATAATACCCTACTCAGTTAGCTTAATTATTCAATCGATGGTTGATCATATATTGGCACTTGCAAACCTAGCCATCGAAAGTTGTGCTCGAATTGTTTTTGTTTCGGCTCACGTCTAATTGGTATGGCAAACAGCTGTGTGAGTGCGTAGTTAGCACTCTCCTTTCTCTCTCTCCGCTCTCTCGTTGACGCAATGCATTAACAAAGAGATGCGCTCTCTGCTCTCTTTTCGCAGCGTGGGGCAAAAATGCTGCATTGCCCTCTGGCGTTTGTTTGTGAATTTTTTGTTTTGTTTAACTTGTTTCGCAGTCTTTTGTTGACACGAGAACTTTGACCTCACACAAATAGACGCACACACACACACACCTGCAAGAAATGGGAGCCCTTGTGCGTCTTCCATGTTAGAGAGTGCGTACGGAGGTTTTACTGTTATTTGGCGACAAAATGCTATGACTAATACACTGCAAGACTTTCTTTTGCCAAAAAATAAGAGAAAGAAGAACGACTTAAGTGACGCGTCAACCGGAAAGTCGAGTTTACAATGCTTAAAACCCCGTGTCTAGACCTACGTATGTATATCATATCTCCGGCGTGCATCATTTGTGAATCATCCGGTTAACAGGCGCATGCAGGAAGCAATTCACAAATTGACACCCCAATCCCATTGCGTATTTTTACAGTGAAGCATGCCTCGGCCTACAATGTATTCAAAGAAAATATTTTTTTCCACTATTTTTTTTTCCGGTCTTTCTTCTGGGTTAATACGTTTGTTGACTTACAAGACTTGCTTTGTTTTTTTTCTGTGAAACTAGCAGCTGAAAGTGTCTTTCAACATTATTTGGTATAGTTAAAATATTGGTTTCAAGTTGAAACCCATATTTTACTCAAGCTAAAAATGCTCTTCAAGTTCGATGCTACCACAAATTTCGCCTGAATTCAGACTAGGTGGTGACATACAAGTTTGACTATATTACCTCATAGGCGGTGGCCAGCTGTTGGAGTAGATTGGTGGACGTTGTATTGGAAGATCGATCTTCGTTGCCAAGTAGAGTTATATGCAGACGATCCATCAGATGGTGCACCGAATGTGCATTCGGCGACACGGTCCACTCGGCAAACGTTATTAGCGTGGACATCTCCAACTTGTCCTTGTAAGCCTCGTACTTCTGCATTTGCTGATAGCGCGATGATATCCTATTGATCGTGTCGGAGATATCGTTCATCTTGGCCATAATTGGAGCATTGTTGTGCATGAAACTAGTCACTGATTCGATGGCCAAGGCAACGTATTGAGCGTGCTAAAGTGGGTTTATTGTTTATAGCTGTATAACTACTTATATACAGTTGCCGTAGTTGTTGTTATACCCTTGCAGTACACAAACAGCTCACCAAACTAGCAATGCCCACTGCAAGAGTACACAAAAAAAGAGCTAACAACCGGGCTAGACCGCTGCTGACTCACCTGATCTTCGGTATGATCTATTTGCTTGCTGACTTCTTTGAGCCGCTGCAAGACCTTCTTCTGTTTCTCGCGCATCAGGGGGAAATCAATGTTGGCCGCCAACGAGGAGGATTGTACAATGTCCCAGGCCTTGAGGACGCCGGAAGTGACCTCCTTGACCACATGAATAATGTCCAAGACATCCTCGATCAAAGCGTCTGTTTGTGTGGGCTGTTGTAGGGTGACCAACGTGGCCAGAAACAGGGGAAATACCCAATTCATATATCCCATTCTGCTGCCGGCTGTGCGTGTTAGTTATTTTGTTTTTGTGCTGTATACGTTTATTTATTGTAACGCGAAATACGGCGATCGTTGGGGATGTTGTGATGACAATGGTGGGGTGTCTTTTAAATATTATGATTAAATGCTCGCACAAACAAACAAAAAAACACACAGACAGACAGACAAAAGCTGCACGCAACTGTGTCCGCTGAAAACCAAAACGCAAATGCGACCGTCACAAAAACAGAGAGTCGAGTTTCGACTACTGTGGCAGATTAATCTGCTGCGCTGCTCTCACCGCTTGGAGATTGATTTAAAAAATCGTCTCTTTCTTCTTGTTTTTTTTGCGCCGCCTGCAGCACCCTTGTCCTCACACACACACACACACACACGCATGCACCGTTCTTTTTTTGGAAGTGGTGGGTGAGAGGGGGACAGATAGACAGCATAGGTCACAGCGAGCTCAGAGTTGAGTTTTTAAAGAGAGTTTCGATAACTGTCTGCTCGTAAGTCATCGATGTTTTATGCCTATCGCACTCGCTGGTGTACCGTTATTTAATTTCTAATTATTTTTTAGATAGGAAATAAATATTAAATGCGATAAATTTTATTTTTAATAAAATAGAAGTAATTAAAAAAACATTTAAATAATTTAAATATTTATTTTCCGTGTTCCCTTTTAGAGTTTCTTCTACGAGATCCTGGCCGGAAAATGGGTGCGCAATGGTCTCCAAATCAAGGGCCAGGCGATGACCTATATACAGGCGAACTTCTGCAACTCGATGGCCGACATGGACCTGTTCTTCCTGCAGATCTGTGCCACCAACCTGCCGCAGTACTTCTTCCTGCAGAACACCATTGAGTTGTTCGACGTGGGTCAGTGGCTGGAGACGGCTCCCTTGAAGCAGCCCCAAAAGGCGGAGCAATCCTCGATGCTGGAGGGATTCCTAACCTTCCTAGCCACCCTGGTGACGAGTCGCACTAATCTGGGAAATGATGAGGCCACCCAGTGCATTATTGAGATCAGTGCCTTGTTGGCCACCGAGAACAAGACGCACTCGCAGCTGCTTGAACTAATGCCGGAGCGATCGGGCAATGTGCATACCAAAAACTTTGAGACCTTTCTGAAGAAGCTATCGGTTTACAAGGCTCCGTCGAGTGGGAGCGAGAACCTGGAGCAGGGTCTCTTCACGCCTATAGACGAGGTGTGGGAGAAGCACTACGATCCGCTACACGTCCTTTTGCGTGCAGTTCATCGTCGGGACTTTCAATCATCGCTGGATCGCTTTACAGTCTATGTGAAGAGCAAGGATAAGATGCCAGCGAGTGGTAACCTGTGGCCACCATTCCGATTGCCCCAGGCTCTGCCCGCAACGAGCTCCTTCAGTGATCCCTGCAAGATTCTTAACTCGCGCGTCTTTCACTCCACCATTCTGTCGATATTTTTCCGTGCAGTGCACACACGTGATGTTTCCGAGCATCTGCTTGCCCTGGCTGTGTTCCTTTTGGAGATTGCTGTGGAAACAAGTGATGATGTTGGCAGTGGTACCGGAGACCGGGCCCCTCCTGCGCTGGCTGCTGTGGTGGAGTCCTCAGGCGGGCCGGGCTATCATGGCTACGGGTCAGGCCGGCAGGAGCCGCCCAAGCTCTTCCAGTGCTATCCTACGGATAATCTTAGCTGCAATCTGCGCCACGTGGTCAAGAAGGTGTCGCTGAAGTCACGTGATCCGCAGGTGATCACCTCCAGCTATCGGTCGAACCCGTTTTACTCAGATCTGGACTTTGATGTTGACGCGGATCCAGAGCAATCGATGCGCATGATTGGACATGGGGACTCCGAAGGAGATGAGGCAACGGGTGGAGCTAACCTGGCATCAGTTGGAATGGGAGCTCTTAGCAGAAGGAACGTCTCTCAGGCACTGGTGCCGATGAGAGTGCCTGGCATGGAGGTCGCCCTACCACCGGATCTTTCAGTAGTTGCCGAAACCGGTGTGGTTATCCGCCAGGATAGCAACGAAGATGATCTACTGAGAGAAGGCGATCATGCCATGGATATGAGCCCAGCGGCTGCTCTTGATTTCCATTTTCCGTTGCAGCAGATCACGTTGCCGGAGAGCGGCATGGAAGTGGCCATTCGGAGAGATCTTCTGCTGGCCGAAACGAATAATATGGGCGCAATTGCTGGAGGAACTGGAGGAGGTGCCAATGCATCGGCCACACCACCAGCAGTGGCTTCCAATGAGATGTTCTCGCCTACCACACCCACGGGTAGCGGTATGCTCCTGCCTTTCCAGCGGGTTCAGCCTGTAGCCGTACCCAGCAGCGTTAATATGGATATTGTACCATCGAATGCCCTCGGCGCCGGCGGAAGTTTCACATCCGGCGTAAGTGGTGGCGGCACTGGACGTAGGATGAACTACGAAACGGGTGGAGCACGTAAGCGATCCGTGGACATTGCCATCGGTGGCAGCAATAAGGATGAGCTGCATTTGGACGAGAGCATCTTGTCGCTGCTGCTGAAGCTCCATTCTCAGCTCTCAGGCACACTAGATAGCTTCTCGTTGAGCGATGGCGAAGATCAATCATATGGCGACGATTCGTCCATGGATGTGGACTGCAACGAAGCCAGCACATCCATGGCAGCAGCGGAGAGCACTGCTCTAGCTGAGAGAGGACGCAGTGGGCGCAACTACAAGAACATCCATGTATCCTCCTCCCGCATTGGCGACGGACCATTCTTTATTGGTAATCTGCTGCGCAAGATCGCCAAGCAGGATGAGCAGTGTGCCCTGAGCATCGACGATATCCGTGCCAGACTCTGGCCGAATCAGCGTGAAAAACAAGCGGAGGCGAAAGCACGCGAGACCAAGGAGAAGGAGGAGCGCCGAAAGAAAGCACGTGAGCGCCAGCAGAAGATGATGCAAGACTTTGCCAACAAGCAGAAGCAGTTCATGCAATCTGCTGCGGCGGCAGCCAGTGGCATGGACTACGGACCGGAGGACGAGGACGATGAGGAGTTGTACGAGGAGCAGCCGCGCGAGAAGGAGTACGACTGCATAATCTGCAATTGCACTACGCCCAGTACTGAATCGAATCCAATCGGCTTGGTCGTTCTGGTCGAGTCCAGTGGCATTGTTGGGCATCGACGGCGCATCGCCGAGCGACTGCCGCTGCCGCTTAACGCCGAGGATGAGTCCCGACTGGCACACACCACTCGACTGGCGGCTGAATTCAGCAGGCGCACAGAGCTGCTTAGTCTCAAGTTCGGCGATGAGTCCTGGTATCTGTCCAATAATATGGCCTACGATAATGGTGTACATGTGCAGTCGTGTGGCCACCACGTTCATCTCAGTTGCCTAGAGGCATACCTTAAGACGCTGTACACCACCCAACGTCAGCCAGTCCAGGATCGTGGCGAGTTCTACTGTCCCGTGTGCCGACAGCTCTCCAATTCGGTGCTGCCGCTGAGTCCGCAGCTGGACAGACCTACGCACCTGGTCCGCTCTGGTAATCAGCCATTTGAACGCCTTGTCGCCGACCTTACCGATTTAATTAAAGAGAACGAAACGATACCGGTAGGAATATTGATTGTTATTATTAAACGATTTCCCTAAAACATACCTTTATGCCCTTATACTTTCAGCAGCCCACAAAACTTACTGAAGCCATGGGCCATGCCATGGAGGTGATGACAAATATAGCCCAGCGCAAGGTTAAATGCGCCTCGATCACGTTCCGCAAGCTGTTCATCTTCGTTACCTCGATTGCGCGTACAAACCTGGAGGCGGAGATCATCCAGCGGGGTGGATCACTATGTACAGCGAATGCCACGCGGTACAAGCCAAAGCGGGACTGCATCGTACCGCTACTGCACGTGCTATCGGTGCATGTGCGTGTCTTGGTTGAATGGCCGCTGTGGAGCAGCTGGGCCTCGTTAGCTGGCCTGCCCGTTAGCGATACGGAACCGTTGCCGGCGCACTGCCTCGAGTTAATTCCCAGCCTCTTAGCGGATCCGATAGCTCTGCTTCTCAAGTTTATCCTGCTGGCGCCACTGCATCTGGACCAGGGTGAGTAGTTGCACATGATATTACCATTATATGACATTTCTAAATATGAATGGTTTTGCCTGCCATTTAGATTACTTCACATGCATGGTGAAAGTCATGTACAACCTGCTGTACTACCAGATTGTAGTTCAGCTGTGCGTTACACTCACGGATTTTGAGTGCGATCACATTCGGAAAGTATACGGCAGCAGTAGCGATGGCACTGACATTTCTGCTGCGGAATCTCAACAGGAGTCTGCGGCCGGGACCACGAGCAACCGTCGCCGTGCTGGCCAACAGCAGCAGAGCTCCTCGCAGCTGGGAAAGGCCATGGCCCTGGTGCTAAGCCAGACAAATGAGCTGGCGCATTTGCGACGCGATTGCATACCCAGTACCAGCAGTTCGGCGGCTGCGGCGGCGGCAGGTTCCTCCTCCACAACCACCGCTGGATCCAGCACAGTCACAGCCTCCTGCTCATCCTCAGCCACGACGCACGAGGTTAACCTTAAGTCCATGGAATTACAGCTGCAGTCGCTATGTTTGCCGTTCTTGCGAGTAGCTGCCCTGCTGCGCCAGCATCTCTATCGCCACGAGATGCCAGAGATTTCGGCACCGGGACTGGAGTTTGTGCGTCTTGTTTACTATTTGGAACTCGTCACAGACTCTATGGACTGGGATTGCTTTAATGCCAGCAAGGGGCTTTGCTTTATTCCCGGCACTGAGAAAACGCTGCCGCAGTTCTGGTGCCAGCAATTGATGGAGGTGCGTCCGCCGGCCGATACGGTCAGAGAATTGGTGCTCATCAATCAGCATTCGTTGTGGCAGCAGCCTCGACTTCTCGAATTGCCGCGCGAGTACGAACGCCTGTTCACGGTGAGAGTTGTTATCAACTATGTTGATTTTGAGTAGGTAATAATTCGATACTTACTTATCCTTGCAGTACTACCATGAGCGGCCGTGCCTCAACTGCTACAAAGTGCCCAAGGAGAGCTCCATCTGCCTGCTGTGCGGAACGATCGTATGCCTCAAGCAGAACTGCTGCGCGGAGAATGACTGCTGCGAAGCTGTTCGGGTGAGTTAGCTTACATTTAATTTGGTATTAAATTACAATTAATGCTGAACCCTTTTGTATATCCCCCTATCAGCATACACTATCCTGTGGCGGGGGCATAGGTATCTTTTTGGTGGTCACCTCCACGTACATCATAGTTATCCGCGGACGACGCGCCTGCCTTTGGGGCTCACTCTATCTGGACGACTTTGACGAGGAGGACCGCGATCTCAAGTGAGTTATCAGAGTCTTAATGGAGTCTATTATGGTACTATTTGAATACATTTAAATTTCTTTGCAGGCGCGGCAAACCTTTGTATTTGAGCCAAGATCGCTTCAATCTCCTGGAGTCACAGTGGCTGTCCCATAAGTTTGCTCATACAAAACACACCTGGGTGTTTCATCGGGATCTATTGTGAAATATGGAAGATCTACTGCGCAGCATCCAGGAGCTGGTTGGCCAGATCTGAGATGGCCGCTCTTAGCCTAGTCGAACCAGTCAGCCACCCGTCACCCCGACATCCCCCCTCCCATCACCAGCCGAACTACTAATCCAACCACCCACCACACTGATCCTTTACTTTTAAGCTAGTTTCGTTGTTATTGTGGAGCTTCAAGTGCGGAGTTGGACAACCGGCCAACCGTTCGCTCCGCCATTCGTATACTCATCTGCATTCGTATTTGTTTACGGTTATCGATCCCCATTCTTCGCCACATGGCCAAACGCAGCTAGAAGCAATGTCGGCAATTTGCAATTAATTGATATTACACCATTTTTTTTTATATATAACAATACTTATACATATGGATGCAAACAACACGAAATACCTACAGCTATATTATCGTTTGTTGTCAACTGTTCAACTGAGAAACGCATAATACACCTTACATAGAGGATCGCATAATCTGGCGATCAACAAAATTATTAAACAACCAATTATAAAATATACAAATATTATACCCACCCAATACTTGCTGGGCAAAGACGACGCGAAAACAGCCTGAATAAAACGGAGATTGTGCACTGCGTTCTACCTAAACTAAGTCTTAAGTCCTTAACTTTATAGATTTTTTTTTAGGGAAAGAAAGGCAAGAAGGCAAATAAGAAATTACCAGTAACGAATAACACGATACAAAATATAAAAATTGTCTACATTGGACTCATGAGTATGTGCATGTAAAAAATGAAAAAAAGATTATATAGTTAATATATATAAATACAATATACACTACAGTTAATGCAACATAAACGAAAACAAAAAAAAATAAAAAAAAACAATAAACGAAAAGCGAATTGTGAAATGCATAGAAACTAGTTTGCATACCCCATTATACATAAATATTATGTAATTAAGAAGCATAAGGAAACAAATGATTGAAAGAAAGGGTAAAATCAATCTAAATTGGTAACGCTAGGATCGGATGTGAATTTGTTATTAGTTTTTACAAATTGTGTGTTATTTAGGCGGCGCTCCAAAGGAAGTTCGGTAATGTTTCAGCCCGAAAGTTGAGCACATCCAAATGTTTATTTTGAACGATCAAATTGAGCCACTGCAAAGACTAGCTAATATTTCAATATCTCGAACTATATACATATACATATAAAATAGGTTTTTCAGAAAACCTGATTGTCTAGTTTGATTGGTATAAATTTCCAACAAGTTATAGAAAAATTGCATGTGTGTTACACAAAAAGACATGGACAAATTGCTACGAACTGTAAATACACTGAAAACGAAGCTGCATCTTGTATAATTAAATATTAATATATCACATTTTATCTTTTTTTTTTACTAGTTATACAAATCTAGATGTTTTGGTTGGCCTCCTAGACTAACTAAATTCTATTCTGCAAAACATAAAACAAAAACACGATTTAAGAGATTAAATGGCACAGCACAGCATTACACCATACACACACTCAATACACACAGTACCCTAGTACACCCAAAAAAGATAATGTAAACGTGCATTCTGAGTGACAAACCGAAAACCCTGAATAAAATTTCAAAATCATTACAAAAAAATGTACATATATGTAATTGATTAATTAATAATTAATATTAAATTAAAAAATTGCTCTAGTGCAGCGTGCCGCATCCAGAGCACATGTGAATTGGCTGGCGCAGGGCCAGCATGCGGTCACGATCCATTCTATAGATGTGATTGTGTATCAACTGGTCGGTGTGGGAGCGGATCTGGTCGCGATCCACTAACACCTGGCTCAGCTGACTCAAGACGCATGCACCATTGATACCTGGCAGATCCTTTTCCTTGACCAGCAGACTCATTTCGGCGGGGCCCATATCGGCCGTGGCATCGGCAACCAGTTCAATGTCGCTATCAACTTTGAAGCACGAGAGGTACTTCTTCTCGTTCTCCGATTTCGATGCCACTTTGGTTGGATATACTTTATCCTTTTCTTGGCTCTCAGTGATTTCAGCGTCCTCATCCTTTTTGACCTTCACAAGGCATCCTTCATCACTGGCCTGTTGGTAGCTTTGCAAGCAGTGGGCACCCTCTGGAGGCGTCGGATGCTCCGTTTCCATTACGAAGAAGCCCTTGGTAAGAGGAACGTGGGCTCTTTTGGGCTCAACGGCTTTAAGCGATCCCTCTGCCAAGGACTGATCAACATTGCAGTTTTGCTTTTTGCTCTCCAGCTGGATTTCCTTGAACATACTGATGGCCCCCTCGCCGCGGCAGTACTTGCCCACGAACAGAGGAGGTGTGATTGCACAGGTGTGCTGCGGCTGCGGAGTGGCGAATCGACCTATGTAGTTCACGAACCACAGCTCCGAGAGACTTCCTGGCTTGAAGACGCAGCCGGACTCGAATCCCTTGGGCAAGAAACGCCTGGGCAGAAAGATTGGGCGATTAACGCCCTCACAGATGGGGAAGACATCGCTGGGCAGCTCGAACTTGGGGCACTCCTCATCGCCCATGGTGGCGAGTGCCACCGAGGGAACATGCGGATTGTTGACGGTGGACAGAATGGCCACCGTTAGGTTGCGCTGGTGCGGCATGAGCATCAGGACCTTGGACAGATCCGGGGTGTATATGTTGTACTGCACCGGGACATGGCGATAGGGATAGGGCGACGGTGGAGGTGGTGGAGCAGGTATGTTGTAGATCATCGACAAGGTGAAGTCAGGGCGAAGCATTAGTTCCTGGGGGTTTTCCTTTTGCAGAAGGTGATCGGAGGGATGCAATTTATACACCAGTGCGTTCTGGCTGGCCGGGAACTCGCCCATTTTGTCCAGCAAACTCTCGATCTCCAACGGCAAATGGACGTACAGGCAGCGCAGACCGACGAACAGCGGTGGCGTTTCACCCTTGTGACCCGAAGCTATCAGGTCGACGGGATAGGAACTCGGTGGCAGAACACCCGGGCCAAAAACGCCTCCGGCTTCAAAGCCCATGGGCAACATCACCGTGGGCATGAAGACGATCTTGTCCAGCGGCACCTCACCCGGGAACAGGGAAGCCGGCACCTCGAAGCAGGGCGTCTGGAAGCCCTCGAAGTACTCGGCTGCCTGCTTATCGTGCGTATGGACATCGAGATAGAGCCGGGCCACCACAATTCTGTTGGGGCTATGGTAGAACATCTTCGGCATGACCAGGTTGAACAGATAGGGAAAGTAACTGGTCTTCTTCAACTCCACCACCTGGCTTTCATCGCGATGCACCGCCTGCATTTGCAGCATTGCCGTCATCGGCTTTCCTGCAATGACAGTGGAGTTTTAGCGTTCAGGACTTCTTTTTTTTTCATGGCTTATTTGACAATTGCGATTGTCAAACAAAAAAAATGTATTTTACCAAGCGGCGAAAACCAATGAAAGCCTATTTAAGCCACTCAGCTCTAGAAAATCACAATGGTAGATGGCAGAGGTTTCTCTAGACCGAAATGCGCTCCTTGATGTTCTTACCCATGCTATTTCCGCGTCGGTTCATTTCTTTCTTTGATTTCTTAGTCATAGTTGTCAAAGCGTTAGCAGTTGGATAAGCAAAGTATTCAAAACCGAATAGTTTTCAGTAGTAATATAATTTGAAAGCCAACCGGTCAGCCGCTTATGGGTATTTAATAAGGTATGTGAATGTGAAAATTCCCTTTAGCACTGAGGTTTCGCCTCCGTCAACCGGCGAAGTCAACTTGACATTCGGTGATGGTCCGTACAACAGGCCTACTGTGATGCCTGGTTTAGGGTTATCAAAATTCTAGAATTGCCACCTTTCGGTTAGTAGAAAATAGTATATTGAAATTGGGAAAATCAGAGTAAAATGGATGATGCGACGCATTGGCGATTGCAACAGGCGCATCAGAGGCAGCGGACTGAGTGGGACAGGATCGGTAGGCGCCTCAAGCGGCTGACGGGCAAGAGATCCAGCGACTTGCTCCTCCACGATCCGCTCCTGCAGCCACCGTTCGCCGCCCATCCTGGCCACACTGGCCACCCTGGACATCCTGGACACCCTGGCCAGCGGATGAGCGGTGGTCAGCAGGTGCCGATTCCGATGGCCAGCAAGCAGACAACGCAGATCAGACGGAATCATCGCAGTAAATCGAATAACTTCCCAGCACCCAATAACCCATTGGAACTGCTTGTGGTGGGTCAACAGCTGCAAATGCATCGTCCACCGGGTCGACGACATGTGCAGCTCCAGGGTGCTCCAGGGTCTCAGCCCCGCCAACAAATCGAGGAGTACGTCTATTTCTATCCCGTCCAATACTTTGAGTTGGACCACTGGCCACCCCACGGTCAGCAGGAACCGGAGCTTGTGATGGATGCCCGATTTATGGCCGAGCTACTGGATGAGCTGCTGATGAATGCAGGCAACCGTATTTGACTTGTGCTTCGTTCAAATCCAAAAGAATCAAAAATTAGCATTTTTCAAACGTTTTTTTTTTGTTCTTACCTTTCCTAAAATGGTCGCACCACGAGTATGGCATTCCACAGTTGGACCTATATTTATTTATGTTTTTGGCTAAAACACTGATTATTTTAGATATATCGTAACTTGGCTTAAATTGGTCGCACGCCGACATTTCCTTATATTACTGGGGTTGCTTGCACCAAAATACTCATTATTTTTATTGGAATGTTTGTTTTCACAGGGTTCCGCAGCTACAAAATGTAGCATTGTAGTTTATCTGCACAATAGAAAAACACTTACATAAAAAAAGCACATTTTGTTTGTACTTTCCATTTTTAGATTTATTTATTTGCATTTACAAAAAAAAAATCCGACCATCAAACAAACGATTTGTTACCTATAATAATAGAGAGACTACACAAGTGTGCGGCAAATTTGGGGCTGGATTTTGCTTTGAGGGCTCATTGCAAAGGAGTCTCTGTTTCGTGGCTACAATATCGGTTGCTTCAGTAAAAATATATAACTATATGTATATACAAAGTTTGTGGACTCATTGTGCCTCCATTACAATGCGTGTGGTTGGGTGAATGAGGATTGGATGCAGGATTGGGTTAATCGTTTCATACGCTATGCTAAGCCTAAGTCTTGGTTGCTATAAAACCTAGAGGTTAACAATTTTCCTTGTCATTTGCTATTTACTTTGTTTCGTTGGAGATTGGATGATTGAGTAGTTGCGGTTGGTTTCTTGTTGAAGTGGTGCCCTTGGTGCCGTTGGGCGTTTGGCAAGCGAAAGGCAGCTCGTCCTCGTCCTCGTTCTCGTCCTCGGCTTGTTAATGCTTCTTGTTGAGTAGATATCCACGCTTCGATTTGTTTGCCTATATAGCTAGTTTTTGGTTTCGTTATTCGCGCTACTTCTGTTCTCCTTGTCCTCATCCTTGTACACCAGCTGCTCTGCCCTAACACCCTGATCCTGCTGCTGCTGCTGCTGGTGTTCCTGCTCCTGCTCGGTCGATGTGTGTATGCCTTCAGTGGCTCCGCTGCCAGTCTCATTCTTGTGCTTCGCACCCCAATGCCAATTATCCATATGTCTAGCCTCTTCCTTGCCACGCATGCTCGTCCTGCTGCTCGTCGGCGGCGATGACTGCGTGGACTTGTCCGTTTTGCGCTCCAGCTTCAGGTCAAGCTCCACGTCCGAGTCCATTTCGGTCTCGGAGAAGGATAACGAGTTGCCAGCGCGCGGCACCTGAATGCGTCGCCGATCCTGTGCGAAGAAGGTGGAGTATTTAGTTAAATCATAGATACATATACCAACGTTCCGATCAACTACCGTATTAAGCGTGGTCGGCTCCGAGATGTAGCCATCACAGTCTTCGTCCTCGCTAAAGAGATCCGCCGTATTCACCGCGTATGTCTCCGGCAGACGACAAACGATCTGCGCCAGATCGATGAACGTGTACTCGTTGAGTGAGGCGTGGTTAACCCGCTTGGGCGGCTCCTTGTTGAACCACTGATTGAAGCGGCCCAACCGACCCGCCTTGGCCATGTTCTCGAAGTAGTTTTTGCCAAAGACATAGCCCACGTCGCGAATCTCGTCGAAGCTGCCGAAGGCTAGAGTCTTGTACTTATCGATCGGCGGTCGGATATACTCGCAGTAGTCGGAGTTCTTGACCTCCTGTCAAGAAACATGTAAATTGCGTTAGCAGCTGAATCTTTTAGGGAAAAATTCAGACTCAAACTCATCAGTTCGATTTCAGGGAATTTCGTACCTCTAGTTGGCGCACACAGGACACATAGGCTAGTCGAGATTGGATGTCGGGTAGGTCAGGCACCTTCACTGGCGACGTGAAGGGATTCCATTTCTTGTAGAGCAGCCACCAACCGCTCAGGTCGTCGCCGTAGTTGGTGAGGTCCGTGTCATCCTGGGATCCCACATCGATGGCGATTATGTGAGCAGCGCCCAGATTGTGCATCACATCGGCTAACCAATGAATTGGTGACCAATGAATTAAATGGCCAGCGTGCATGTGGTGTTTTAAGTGGTCGATATGGAGGTTGTTGTGGATGCAATACAGATGTTCCGTTAGTTGTGGTTATTGGTTTTACGATATTGAAAAATGCGTTTACAATTTAGATATTCCTTAAAGGTGTATACTTAATAGATTTGGATAGTTTTAAATGTTTATATTAAAAAATTAAATACATATTATTCCAATTGTAAACGCATTTGAATAGTCTTATACCCCACCCAGCATCTCAGTTCTATTGCCAAGTCAATCAGTTTTCATATCTGTGCATTTCAAAAATGGAACATTTCGCGAATTCTTTAGCTTTAATTTGGAAGTGGAATGTGTGGAAAATTGAATTGAAACTAGATGGGCGCTTGGCAGACTGACAGAAGATGCTGGGAGGCAGGCATCGCGGTGAATTCAATTTCCAAAACTGGAGCGTACGCAGGGGCGGCGCAGAGCATTGGAACAGGATCGTGGATCGTGGAACGCCAATGTGGATGGTGTCTCTGTTATTTTTTACCTGGCACGTTGTTCGTGTAGCAGCCATCGAGCAGCAGGTGGCCATCACGGTAATCACAAAATGGTGGGAAGACGCCGGCAATCGACATGCTGGCGCGGCAGTACCGCCACAGGTGGCCTGTTTTTTGTTTTGTTTTTTTTTTTTTTTACCACAGGTGGGGACAAAGCAATAACAGCACAATATTGTGGATCGTATTGTTTGTGAATGACACGGACACGTGAGATTGGATTGGTTTATTTAATTGTTTTGTGTATGTTTGATAGAGACAAGTCGTGTGTTTCAGAGATAAAGAGAGAGAGAGAGAAATAGACACACTTTTATCCACGAAATAATGGTTTATTTCATTGCTATAGCTACATATGAAATTGGGTTTACTTATACGCATACATAACAAAATGGTCAAAGGAAACAATTGGGGAATACACAAACTAAAAAGCAACTAAAAAGTACCACCAAAACACTAAAATATGTAGAGGAGAAACCAAAGAAACTTTGTGCACTCAATCATATGTATGTGTGATTTGGTAATTATGTATAAGTATGTGTGTTGTGTGTTCGGTGTGTTTAGGTGGGTGGGACTGAGATAGATGGTGCAAACGAATGCGGTTTACCGTTAGAAATGCAGGCCTCGCAAAATATCGATAGGCGACACTGGCATTGCCAGCACGAAAAACTCTCAAACTTTTCAAACATCCAGAGGAACAAGAACAACAACAGGGATTTTTGGGAGAGAGGATCTAGTAACGGAGCGGAGCGGAGCGAAACGAAAGGAATTGAATGGAACGTGAGGAACGTGGAACGCAGGCAAGTATGATCGAACAAGTGGAATTTCCAACACTCTGCGCGCTCTGTGTGCCGAAAAACTTAGCTCTAGATTGGAAATTGAATGTGAGAATTTTTCTTTTTGGATTAACGCTCGGGGTTAAATATTTTGTTTTTTTTTGTTTGTTAATTATATTTGCTAGTTGCTAAGTGCTAATTGCTAATTACCTGGCAGATTATTCACATAGCCGCCATCCAGTAAGAGATGCCCATCTTTAGGATCGCATAACGGTGGCATGTAGCCACTGAGCGACATGGAGGAGCGTACGTAACGCCACAGAGATCCTGGTATTTTAAATCAACGACAGACACATGCCAGCAATGATAAGTCGGTGGGTGTGTGTGTGTGGGTTATATTTTCAGGTGTTTTATGTGTGTGTTTGTGTTTTGGGGAAGGAGAAGAGAAAAATAAGAAAGATTGAGTGAAAAGTTGCTTGGAGCTATCTTTGTTTTTTTTTTTTTTTTGATTGAAGATAGAGGGAATATGAAATGGAGAATATTGGGATGAGGAGCACCAATGGGAAATATTGGGTTTTAATGGGCGCAGCGATGTGGGGCGTGGGTTATTTAAAAGGTTTAAAAAGGGGAAGCAACGAGTTTAGCCTCTAGCAAAAAACACAAGATCCAATTTCGATGTATGGCACAAGATTTCCAAAAAAACACCAACAACAACGAGAACAGCGACAACAATGAGTTTTAAATTTGATTTGTTAGGTTGCAAGTTCAAACAAAACGGCACATTCGATTGACAGCGTAACGCCGATAACAAGTCGATTCCACGGCAGAAAAGAACATTTTTGAAAGGTGAAAATGCCTCTACAAAATGGCGGGCCATGGAATGATGATGCGTGTGTGTGTGCGTGTGTGCGTGAGTGTGTGGGCGTCTCATTGTATGGGATATCATTTTTGGGCACACTCAGTTCTAAGGCTACCGAAAGGATCAAAAGGATCGGGAATCACAAAACGATACAATAGCAACTCAAAGGGGGATCATAAACTAAAAGAGAATTTCAAGGGGGAATAAACGCAGAAAATATTATCACAGTAAGCAAACCAACACAGGAAGCACATACAATTTGTAGGACAAGGAAAAAATTCAGTTTCAAATTAGATCGATGGAAGCATACAAAAATATCGCACGTTTTTCAACTATTCAAGTTACAAATACCAATTTCGACTTATTTTCTTCACAAAAATAAACTAATTTTACTTTAATTGACACAAATTTAAAGTATTCAGAGCCGAATATCAGTTTTATTTTATTACAAGAGGCTTTGGCTTTAAAAGCCGTACTGTGTTAGACACTGTGAAAAAACAGTCGTAGTAAAGTACATTGCAAATGAAAAATAACCAAGTTCCCACTAGCCGATAACCCACAAAAAAGAGTAGGCGACAGATAATGACAGGGATAGATAGACGCACATGTACAAAGCGAGGGAGACAGAGCGAAAGAGAAGGCAAGTGGGAGCGCAATTGACTCACCATTGGTGTGAATGCGATGGCAGCTGGCGGTGATGTCGGTGGTGAGGGTGAAGTAGGGTATCCACAGGTCCTCGATGCTCACGTCCCCGAATGTGTCGTGGATGGTCTTATTGAACTCCCGTCCGGAGAACATCGATGTGATCGGGTAGGTGAGGTCAAGTAGTTGTAGGAAC